TAATAAAATAGCTAAAAAATAGATTTCTTAAATTAGTAAAATATAATAGCTAATTCTTGCAAGCCGCAATATTATTAAAAGCCTATAGATTAATAGTATTAAAGTTTAGAGTATTAAAGAAGCTTAAATAGTTATAGAAAGCCTACTAATACCAGAAAAGATAGCTATAATTACTGAATTTAATATAAATATTCTAAATAAACTAAATAATATATATAATAAGCTCTTAAAATAAAAAACCTTTATTAGAAACGGAACTAGACTAGAATTAACTAAAAAAGAATTAAAGAACTACTAAGTTAATAATAGGAAATTCGAGAATATTATTAAAGGCATTTCTAAAAATAAATAAAAGAAGCTTAATAAGATTAAGACTATAATAAATAGTTTTAATACTAAGGGACAGAATAGAATTATATTATATAGTAAAGCTTTTAGCTAATATATTAATAATATCTATAATAATCTTAGTAAGAATATCTATAAGAAGTTATATTTTTTTTAAGATAAAAGCTTTAGTATATAAAGCTATTTAGTTAATTAATAAAGCTATTTTAAAGTATATTAAGAATAAGAAGTATTAGAATACTAGTATATTTACTAAATCAGATATTACTAAGGTACTCAAGTATACTAAAGCTATTTCGGAATATAGAGAATTAGAGTTTAAGCTACTATTAGCTAATAACCTTAAAGCTAGATAGTATATCTTTAATATTTCCGGAATTCTAATTAAGGAAGTTTATAGTAATAAGCCTTTTCCTGCTTTCCGAAATAAGCCTAAAAAATAGGCCCTTATTATAATTTCAGCTTTAACTTAACCGGATCTAGCTAAGAAAAATAGAGCTAATTCGATAGAGCCTAGTAAAAAGATTATTAGTAAAGCTAGTAGAACTAGTATAACTAGATAAGAAGAACCTAGTAAAAATAGAAAGTAAGCTAAGCCTAAGATTCCTAATAAATAGCAGAGATCTAAATACTAGACTAAATATAAAATTAGTAAAATAGTAAATAATAAGAAAGAGCCCTTTATACTAAAGGGAAAAATACTATCTAAAAAGACTTCCTTAATTATATCTAGGACTAAGAAGCAGAAAACCAGGAATATTAAGTCCAAAGAACTTAATAAAGGCATTTAGTATATTTATAAAATATTAGCTAAATAGAAATTAATACTTATTTAGTAAGATAAGTATATTTTTAAGAAAGTATATAGTAGTATTATAGGACCTATTTTTAAGCAAAAATACTATAGGATTAATAATAGATTTCTTAAAGCTCCTTATATAGTATATACTTAGTAACTTACTAATACTCTCTCTATTAATATATAAGAGATCGAAAATACTCTAAAGGTAATTACTAAGATCTATAAAGTTACTAAAAGCAAGAAGTATATTTCTATTACTTGGGTAAATAAGGAAATACAAGATTTCTTCTTTAAGAACTAGGAAATTAAGAAATATAGATATAAATACTATATTTCTAATTAATTCCGCCCTAATCTATAGTTTTAATTTAATATTATAATCCCTATTCCTAAATCTAGTATTACTAATCTAGGTACTAATAGTTATATTTATAAGAAGAATTACCTAAAGTAAATTAAGAAGCTTAATATTTAAAAGCTCTTAATAAAAGAGATAGAGATATTATAGTTTTATTTCTAAAAAGATAATATATTAATATATAGAAATCTTAGTAATAGCTACTTTACCTTAGTCTCTTAACTTTTAATAACAGATTTATTAATATAGCTCGGATTTTATAAGATATTAAATAAGTATCCTATTTATCTAGTTACTTACCCTTAGCTAGCCTAATACTTTATTTCTAGAAACATTAATTATAATTAGTATAAAGATAATACTAAAGATCTAGCTATTACTAAAGCTTTAAATAGCGAATTTTATCTTAGTAAAAAGTATTAGAATATTAGCTATATTTTTCTTATAAATTATAAGAAGGCTATTACCTTTAATAAGAAGTTCTTTAAAGATATTAATTACTTTTTTATTTCTAATAAATTTAAGCCAGAAATAGCTAAAGAAATAGGTAAGTATTTACTAAAAATAATAAAAGAAAAAACTTCAAATATAGTTTATTTAACTAAATAAATAAATACCTTTAGCTAGGTAATCTATAAGTCTGGAATTATAGGAAAGCATTAATTCTCGAATAATATATAAGTTAAAGAATAGCTTAATAATAATTTACTACTTAATAGGCCTTTTACTATAGTTCCTATAAGTCTAGTTACTATTTAGGATAGAATATATAAAAATAGAGTTTCCTATAAGGTTATTAAAGCCTTTTATCTAGAGCTTTCCCCTTTTATTAAAGGTTAATTTAAGAATACTATAAATAATACGAAATTCAAAGAAGCTATTTATTTAGAATATATTAGTATGATTTATAATATGATTTACTATAATAAGCCTCCTTAATACCCTATAGTAAAGGCAGAAATTAAGTAATAATTAAAGGCGGATACTAATTAATATAAAGAACTATATTGGATTTGGTATAAGAATATGGCTAAGCAGGTTCGGATTACCTTTAAGCAAGTTCGGGAATATAAAATAAGACTATTTAAGGGTAATAAGTCTTATTTTAGGTATATAAAAGAGAAATTAGATTAACTAATAAAGGAGGATCCTAAATATTTTATTATTTTAGACTCTAAATAGGATTTTTCTATTATTTTTAGTACTTAGGGAATAAATATAAATAAATAGGGGATCGGATATAATATAGCAGGCTATATTTATCGAAAATTATATTATTTTAGCGGTTTTGAAATTTAGGTTATATAATAAAGGCTATGGCCTTTTATATATAACTTGCGGAAATTATATAAGAAAGCTGGTTTTTCTATAGACTTAGAGAAGAATTCTTTATAAGTATTTAATTAATTAAGCTTTTATATACTATATACTATTTATGTTTTACTATTTATACTTTTAATTTATTATTTTACTATTAAGTTACGTTTTATACTCTAGTATACTTTATATGAGTTTTTGTCTTATTATAGTTTCCCTCCTATAATAAATACTCTAAATACTACTTTTGTTTTTAGATAGTACTTATAAAGCGTCTAATAAATATTTATTACAGAATATACTAAATCTTTATATTATTTTTTCTAATTTTAATTTATTAATTACCTAATTAGATAGATATAAATTAATTAGTAGAGAAATATATATAATTGAGTCTATAAATAAGAAATAACTATAATAGTTCTCTAAAGTATATTATATAGGCGAGAAGTAAAGGTATATAGTAATGAGTTTATTAATAATCTTTATTTTTTTAGTATATTTATACTTTATTACTCGGAAGTTATATAACTAGTATATAAGCTTAATAAAGTCATCTAGTAGTAATTATATTATTATTAAATACTTCTAGTTATAAATAGGCTAGTCGGATAATAATTAATAATAATTTAATTAAATGATTTTAAATAGGTTTAGATAGCAGAAAACGGGCTCGGGTTTATTAAAGGTTCCTAGTCAAGTTATTAAATAAATAATAAGATAATTACTACTATTTATTATAATAAAACATTAATATATATAGAAGTTAATTAATTAATAGCTTTTATAAGTAGGAACTAATTATAAAAATGGTTATATTAGCTAGCTATATTAAATAATATAATATATTTCTTTTTTTATTTCTTTTTATTTCTTTTTTTATTATATAAAATATTAAATTAGAAGCCTTATAATAAGAAAACTATTATTAATTACTTTTACTAATATAAATATAGCTAAAACCTTTATTTTTAATATTAATTTTATATATTTTTTTATATTATTAAATGAAATTAATAGTATTATATTCTTAATTTTTATAAAAAAATTCGAATATAATAATAATAGGCTATATAATAATAAATAAAATAGTCTTTTTTATTTATATATTTAAATATAAATATTTATTTAAATAAGCTAAAAAATAAAATAATTTATTATTATTATATATATTTTTACTATTAATATTATCTTAAAATTTAGTTCCCAAATTTATACTATTATAAAATATTAAAGATTAGTATTTTAATATTAGAAAAATAAGACTAATTAATATAAATAAACTTAATTTCTAAATTATATATAATTTGTATTATATATTAACTTTAATATTCTTATTATATAGCTAGTTAATAAATACTATAAAGATTTCAAGTTTTTAGTAATTAGTAGTATTTTTATATTAATTAGAATAAAGTAAAATAAAATAAGAAATATTAAAAATTACGGGAAAATTATTTGAAAATTAGTAATTATAATATATAATAATTATTTCTTCTAAAAATAAATTTTTCTTTTTTTTCTTTTTTTTATATATTTTTTTATTTATATTCTAGTATATAAATAAAAAGTTTATAGAATAAAGTATAATAAAATAAAATAGAATAAAATAAAATAAAATAAAATAAGAAATACTTAAAAATTGCCTGAAAATTACTAAAAATTAATATTTCTAATATATAGTAACTATTTTCTTAAATTTATATATATATATCTTTTTTTCTCTTTCTTTCTTTTTATTTATTTATATTCTAATATAAGAATAAAAAACCTATAGAAAAGCTAGAAATAGTAAAATTAATAACTAATAAAGAATTAACTATTATCTTGATTTTCTATATTAATTATATATTAGTATTATAAAGCTAGATTAGTAGTATTTTATTCTTAATATATTTTAACTAATTAGATTTAATAATAAATACTTATTAATAGTAAATAAACTAATACTTTTATTCGAATATTTATAGTCTAGAAATATATATATTTCTAAGGCTTAAAGAGATATAGAAATGAGACGAATTATTTACTATTACATATATCTCTATTACTAATTTAATATTAGATAAATCTGTCAGGTTTCTAGTACTATAAGGCATTAGAAAGGGGGGGTGAGTTATATAAATAATAGGCTTTATATTCTTATAATTCATTAACTTAAATTATTCTTAGAATTAATACTATCTGCTTTACCTAATTAGCCCAAAATGACTTAAATATATCTAATGAGGCTTGGATATTACGTATTAGTAATAGAATCATTAATTATTAAATTTTGATTTTCTAGTATCGAGTGCGATGTGTGCAAATGCATTATGCAATGTTATTTCGGGGTTTTGGCAGGAGCATCGCTATCGGCCTCGGTACAGTATCGGATTGCTGAGCAAATCACATGGCATCAAGCCCCACCACGGACCTGCGAACTCTACTTTTCGCAGGTGGCAGGGGCTTGCGAACTCGACTTTTTCGCACCAGTACTAATAAAGTTAACTGATTGCAATACAAATCATTAACGGAGCATGAGTGTCTCCTCGCATTTGGCCCAACCTTCCTTTTTCTCCAGTTGTAGCTCTTTAGTCCAGCCAGGCCGGTAGTGGCCTTCTTCTTCAGGGCAGAATATGCTCTCCCCATCCAAATCCGCCCGGTTATGGTCTACCAAGGAGATGAGTGAGATCGGACATAAATACAAATTTGAAGGGCTCGTAAGCTTAGAAGGTGACGGGTCGGATGGAGATGCTGATACTCCGGCCTCTGGCGTTAACAGTGATCAGGATGAGGTTGAGCCTGAGTTGGATTGGACATTGCCTGTCCCCGAAGTACTCTGCCAGTCCAAAGCCTTGAGCTGGGTCAAGACAGTTCTCATTTGCACTCGAGGAAGGGAATTACCTGGGAATTTCAATCCTCTCCTAATCGTGGAGCTGTTTTGGGAGCAATCCGAGAATTGGCAAGAGCTGGCAGAGGACCACTTGCAGGACGTCTCGAAATTGTGCTCCAACTTCGTCATCGACTTGCTCCGGGACATCTGCCCCGCAGATGTCCCCCCCCCCCGAGTTCAAGCCTCCGTCGTCGAAGAGTCCCTAAAGAGCAGAATGGAGGCTGGCGAAGCGGAACTGAAGAAGCTTCTCCAAGACCGAAAGCGCTGGTATCAATTACTTATTTGGCGAATTGAAATCGAGCCTGGGTGATGGCAGTAAGAGAATTGGATCTCAATGGAGTTAGTTCTAGGCATTAGGCCTCAAGGGAATTGGGCATCAGGAGGTTATAATACGATATCTGAAAGTGACGTGTCCGTGGCTTGGTTTTCGGTGAGTGCTTCTGGAAAGGCTGCAGCAATGTTGTAGCCTCGTCTGCTGGACATTTTATCGTCCCAAACTCATTCTTCTCCTCATGTGCCATCGACATTGAGAAAAAACCCTTCAAGATTCCATGCGTACAGACTGTCATGGCAAGAGCAAGCTATGGCGGATACACCATTTATAACACTTGTGGCAGGCGGATTGCAAGCGAAACCAACGGCATCGATTGCCACGCACGACACCAGCCGGGTAAAGTACCACATCTCCGAACTTGGCACCTTCGCCGCGAGGCTGGAACATGTAGGGTAACTCTCTGTGTTTTTCATCGACGTGAAGAACTGACATTCTCTTCATAGGCAGCGGCCAGCATATTTCCCAACAAAGGGCGCTCCAGGTACAAGAACGTGCATGTACTTCTGCTGCGATGGGAAGAAGATTCAATGGGCGTGGTGCTCGAACTCGATGATCTCGCAAACACCTTCAGATCTGCCTATGGCTTCGAGACCGAAACATGGCTCATACCAACGGTTAAATCATTATTCGCTCTCACAACAAAGGCCTTGCAGACCGTCCAAGGTTTCGGAGATCCAGACAACTTATTAATTGTTTACTATGGCGGACACGGCCTCATCAACGATGCCCGCCAAGGCGTGTGGACTTGGTAAGCGTCTAAATCGGTGGTAAATAGTTTGCTAAGACACAATTCAACAGCAAATCGGACTTAAACCAAGGCTCTCTCCCATGGCACGCGATTCAACCTCATTTCGAACAGGCAGACTGCGATGTTCTTCTACTTCTAGACTGTTGCGCGGCAGCTAGCGGTGCACCAACCAATAGTGAAAGCGCAAGTGTTACAGAGACCATTGCAGCGTGTGGTTTTGAGACGTGGGCTCCACGTCCAGGTCGACACTCGTTCACCAATACACTCATTGCAGTTCTAGAGGACTGGAAGGGGCGAACAGCTTTCACTGCCGCCATGCTCCACTGCGAGATATTGCAACGACTAAGACATGAAAGGCCTGAAAGGTATAGGAATACGGATAAGTTTGAGTATCGCAAGTCTCCAATCCACGTCCTTAGCACGAATGATCGTCATGCGAGAAGTATTGAGCTTTCCCCTCGAGAAATTCCATCTCATGGTCCTAATGACGTTATCGCATCCAATATTCCGAGCGCCAGAGGATCTTCGGTTTCCAAGTGCGCGGGAGATGCTGAGCTCGACAGTAATGGGCCTCCCGTTGGCGCTTTGATATCAGAAGATGCCAACTTAACACATCAAACTGGCGAGCTTTACGATATGGATTCTCTTGCTAACATCCTCGATAACGGAGACACAGCATTGCCGCACGTCCTCATCACGTTGGCATTAGAAGAAGAGCCTGACTCTACTCTGGACCTTGAGCAGTGGAAACGCTGGTTCCAACAGTTCCCGGCATTAGCGAAGCACGTCAAAGTTCAAGGCGTCTATAAGGGCAATTCAACTTTCATGATACTGTCAGTGCCAGTAGTTGTGTGGGACTGGATTCCTGAAGACCCGGCTTGTGTCTTCATTGGATATGTTTATTCAGACAACCTCTTAGCCCAGACTGCATCTGCTCCCACAGCGGCGGATAGGTATGTCGAGAGTATGGGCAACAAGATGTTCAACGAAATCAAGAAGAAGCTTGAGATGCTGCCTGAAGAGAGAGTCCATCCAGAAGTGTGCTTTGAGAACAGCTGCTACCCCTATTCAAAACATAGGAGACTTAGTGATGCTAGTACATTGACCGAAGTCAAGAAGAAGGTAGAGATGCTTTGTGAAAAGAGAGAACATCCGGAAGTGTGCTTCGTAAAGGGCTGGTATCCGGACTTTTCATGGCCTCGCAATCTCCATTATGACGAGGCATCCATGGATTCCCACAGTATGCTTGGTGATGATCGAGATGACCTCAACATACTCCTCAGTACGGGCTTTGGAAATCCAGCTTCCTCGTGTGAGGTCGAAATCCTTGAAGGCTTTTGTCGGGGTACAACCCTTGAAGACATAGCGTTAGGTATTGGCCTCGCAGGAGGTCTGAGGACTGTGTGGCTCGACGATAGAGGTAGTAGTCCAGACTTAAATGGGAGCGGAGACGCAAGGCAATACGAAAATCCATTAACTGCCACTGGGCTTTACCGAGCCTTGAAGCAATCACGATTCCACCACAAGAATACACCTGATGCGGCGAGGCGACTAATATATATCAACGACCTGAATCCTGCCTGCATTCGTGCCCTTGCGGCAACGGCATCTGGGTACCAAACCGCTGTGCTAAGAAATGCTATATATAAACATTTAACATTTCAAACCTCAATCGGCGTCAAAATTCCTAGGGATGGAGTGCTCACTTTCCAATTGGACCTCCATTTACCATTTTTTATTTTGAGAATATCGACGCCACCCGATATATCTGTGGAGAAAGTTTACACAAAACCACAAAGGGCGTGGTCAGATTTATCTTTCCTAAAATTAGATCTGCCTATATCGGAGGGCCAGGACCCGGAAGAAGTTTGGGGCATACAAGAAAGTCATATCTCCTGTGTCATTACTGGATCGGATAACTGGCAGTGGGTTGCCTATGGTTTCGTCGATGCTGAAGTTGACGGTCTCCTATGTGACTCATCCGAAACCGATTTGAGATTCGATCGGATAGCAGCTTGTGAACTTGACGTAAATTTCCCGATCTGGAGGCCGCGTGAATACTTTCTTCAAGTATTCGCAATTCGAATAGAACAAGTGAGAGGGCAGTGGGAGCACCTAGTCTACAAGCTAGGGCTTGGGATTAACAGATGCGTACGTGGTCAAACCCAAAATCCTTCCGATAATAACTGTAATAATGACGGATTGCTAACGTCGCGATTAGATGAAGGAACATCGGTCTACTTTACCTCGGAGCTCTGGGAATGCAAGAGAGCGTGCTTCGGAGATAAGGGAAGCTTTCGATTGGACTCTCAAAACGATGAGCCTCCTGCGCATGCTTGATGGGGTTCTCTCAGGCACAATTGATGCCTGGAAGTCGTTTTGTTCTCCTGATAATGATATCGGCTACTTTCAAGATACTGATGCAACGGCCCGGCGATCGTTCCATAGTATACAGGCTATCTTTCGGCAACTTCAAGATCATCAAAGGAGAATGGTTGTTTTGAACGAAAGCTGTTCCAACTTTTCAGAGACTGTGAGTCAAATCATTCATACTTGCTGACGGTAGGCTTGTGGCCAGGGAACAAGTTTTACTAACTATCGAGGCGTAGTTGAAACTTCGCTTGAACCTAGAGAGCAAAGAAGCAGCTGACTACGATAGAGTGACCTCCATTTTTACAGTCTCGGTATGTCCTCGTAAGCTTTGAATTATCATATGGCTAATCTATTTATCTTCGTAATTCCAGATCTTCTATCCTGTTGCGCTCAGCGTTGGTATTTTTAGCATGCAGCAAGCGGCCATACCATTCGATCTAAACCCCAGCTCTTTTGTGCTTACTGTTTTCTTACTGATGGCCACAATATATGCTATTCGCTTGGTCACTCGACATGCCGCCCATTTCCGTTGGCCGGAGTTGGCTAGAAGAGTTGGCTTGTGGATTACAACGGTGAAACTGCGCGAAAAGGGCGACGAACTCCCGGGGAATTACTTTCGGGGCGTATTTCCGTCGAGGACGGGTATTTACCCGAACGGAATCATGGGTGGTGAGGACAGAAACGATCTCAAACCATACGCAACAAGAGCATTACTTGGACCGCAGGTTACAGAATGGGAAGCATGGGCGGATGATTGATGTCATTTAAACAGGGGGTTTTGAGTATAGAGTTCTACTCGAGTACTTATTTATGATTAAATTAGGCATGCTTTAGGTTAATTGGTTCGAGCCGCAGAGGAGGCTTTGGAGAAGCTAGCTCTATAGATGCTAAATTCCTGGGTTCACGATGTCCTCTAAACTAAAGTCTATCTGGTAGAAGCATGTAACCTTTGCCATTGCGTCCGTTCTGGGCCCAGTGGCTGTGCGTACGGGTGACATATGAAAAATCAAGAGCACTCTTCATATTCAATGAATCAAATAATCAGAGCTCAATTCAGGCTTCATTCAATATATTTTGAAGTGCTACACGTGACGCGGCATAATATTAATCCGTCCCGGAAGTGTCTCCGGTCTATAGATTATTACCCCGCTACAGACCTCTTAAAGCACTTAATTCAATCACTATTTTATAATACATATTAATATTATATTTGTTATTAATTCTATAATATATAAGCTTTCTAATAACGTTATTTCCGCCTGATTTGGATCAAAATTAATACTATAATATTCAAATATTGTAATGGGCACACATAATAGTGCATGGACAGGTATCAGATGTCGTGGATCTAGTTTCCTATTTTGGGTAAAGCTTGCGATCGGAATCGCACGGATCGCATGGGATCGCATTTCCGAATTAAGTAAAGGGCTTCGCACGCTTGGCTAAATACTAGGGAATATATAGGGAGACACTCCTAGCTTTGGAAAGGGGCATTAATTAGTCTTTTATTGGAATCAGTTCTTGGAATCAGTTATACTTGCAAGTATTACTCTATAACTTATTTATCTTAACTACTTATATATCTTATATTCTAATTAATCCAATTTTCGGGGAGTAGTTTATTACGAAATAGTCAAGCCATTAATAAATAAAATTATTAATAGCTAGAGTATTAACTAGAAGAAATGCCTCTATTATTACTAGAGTAATTTAGCCAGATATTTAAAGAAGCACCTAATTAGGTATTCTTTATATTATCTAATTAGGAAAAGGAAATAGAACTCAGATATTTCCAGAGCTAGCTAATAAAATAATAATAATAAAGAAATTAGTAATAACTTATTATTATATTACTGAGTTAGAAGTAGAAATATAATAGAAAAAGAATCTAGAAAAGCTAAAAGCTTAGATCTATTATCTTAAAGATATTTAAATATCTAATATAGAATCTATTATATTTCCGATAATACTTTTAGTTTAGAAGGCTCTAAAAACTCGAGAACTACTAATTTATAGAAAAAAAAGTATTAAAGAAATCCAGGACTTCTTTTATTAAATAGAATTAAAATAATATAAAAATAATAGAATTATCTAGGCTATAAATATAATAAAAATTATATATTATATTTCTTATTTTAAAAATATAGCCAGAGATATTTAAAAATATAAAAAGTAATTAATAAGTATTAATATTATAAATTAGAAAACCTTTATTAAATTTATAAAGAATTTTATTTTAGATTTAAAAAATCGTAATAATAATTTTTTTACTAAATTTAAAAATATAATATAATAGCTAGATTAGAATATTTAAAGCTTTATATCTTATTTAGATAATCTATTAAATAACTTAAAATATACGGGTTTATTATAAGAATAAAATAATTTATTTAATAATTTAAAATAAGAGATTTGAAATAAGATTAATTATTAAAGAAATACTTTATAAAAAAGAAAAAAGCTTATTTCTATAATTATAAAAATCAAAAATAACTTAAATTTATTTACTTTATAAAAATATAAAAATAAGCTAATAAAATAATTAAAAAAATAGAAAAGAATAGAAAAAAAAGGAAATAAAAAAAAGAAATAAAAAAAAATATTTTTATTATAAGTTTTATAAAACCGAAATAATAAAAATTTAATAATAAAATTTAATATAATACTTATATTAGAATTTATAAAACCGGATATAATTTGCTTTATTTATTAGAAAAAGAATTATTATATTATTATTTGCCTAAATTAGAGAAAACTAATTTATTATAATTATAATAAATTTAATAATAAAATATATAAATATCTAGAACTAAAAAAGCTATAAAATAATTATATTTTATAATAATTACATTTATTTATATTATAAAAGACAAAGTTCCTAAAACGAGAATAATAATTAAAATTATTATTAGAATAAAAATAAAAATATAGAATTAATTTTTAATTAATTCAAATATAAAAGCTAATTATATAAAAAGAAAACTAGTTTCAAATATAGAAATTTTATTAATATTAAAAATAACTTTCTTAATTTTACTAGAAAAAAGAAAAATCTATTTATATAAAATTTTTATTCTTAAAATTATTATTAAAAATATATTAGAAAACTAAAAAAAAACTAATATATATTTTATATTATATAATTTTAATCTAAACTATATTAATATTAGATTTAATTATAGAAGATTAAAGTTCTAAATAGTAAAAAACTTACTAAAATAATAAAATATAAAAAATATATTTTTCTATTAATTATTACTATTATTATTAATAAAATAATTATATTTTCTAAAAAAAATATTAAAATCTTTTTTAAGTATTTTTTATAAGAATTATAGATATATTATTTAATTATTATATAATAGAATATTATATAAATCTAAAATTAGAATTCTAATTATTATATAGTTCTATATATATTTTATTAAAAAAAGAGCTTGAAATCTTTCAAAAATATTTTAATATTAATTTAAAAAAGAAATAGATCTAATATTTTATTAGTCTAACTAATATTCTAATTATATTTATTTTAAAGAAAAGAAATAATATAATATGAATATAAAATATAAAGTAATATAAATAATAAAATAAGCTTTTATAATATAAGATTATAGTATACGAGTAAGACGTGAAATTAGAGAATAAAAGTTAGTTAATTTCTAAGAACTAAAAAGAGAAAAAGAAATAATATAAGTAAATTATAAACTATAAATATCCGGAGGTTATATAATAGAATTATATAACTAATTAAAATAAAATCCCTATTATAATAGTTTATATTTATATATTAATTACTAGAATTTAAATAGAATTATTATTAAAAACCAGATACTATTATTATTTATTAGTAAAATAATAAATAGGCTTTATAAAATAAAAATATTATTAGTTTATTAGAAATATATAATATTATTATATAATTATAAAATATTATTTATATAAGTTAGTAAAATAGTTATTATTCCGAAATAAGAATTATAATATTATAGTATTAATATATAATTCCTAAATCTACTAAGCCTAATAGAAACTAGCTACTAATTAAATTATTTATATAATATAAAGTTATATAATTATTATTTATATTTTATTATTTTTAGTTATTTTTATATTATATAACTATATTATATAATTATTAATAATTATAGCTATACTAATATTAGAATCTTTTTAAAAAACACGAAAAAATAATATTTTCTTTTAATTATATACTAATTTCCTAATCCGGCCTAGTACTAGATTTTCCTAAATACTTTATATATTTATTTTTTATTCTATTTATATTTAATTTATTTCTCTATATCTAATTATATTATATTTATATTAATTAGATATTTAAAAGTATTTAATAGCTTTAATTTTATTATAGAATTAGTAGAATTTAATTCTTCTTTAATTTATTTAACTTCTATAATCTTTTATTATTTATATATCTAATAAAGATATATTATATTAATTATTAAATACTTCTTTTAAGTAATATCTAATTTAATAAAGTATTTATATAATAACTTCAAATCTATATAAACTACTAGTAATAGTTCTATTTCTAGTACTTTATTAATTATAGATTTAATTAAAGTATTTATATTAAAGCTATAAGCTATATTATAAAATTTCGAAACTAGAATACTTTTAATAACTCTTTTATATTTAATAAAAAACTAGTAAATAATATTAGTATATCTAGTTTTATTTATTAGAACTAGAATATATCTAATTTAGAAAAAGAAATCTTTATTATTTATAAATAAAGCATTCGTAAAAATAATTAAATATAAGAACTTCTTTATTAGTTTTATAAATTTTAGTTCTCTAGTAATATTCTTAATTTACTATTAAATATATTTATTAAATATTTTTATATTAGTTTTCGAGAATTTAATAACTTAAATAATAATTAATAAATTATATAAAGCTTCTAGTTAATAAACTAATATAATATATATTTCTTTAATATATTAAATAATATATTAGTTCTTAATAAAGAGATTTTAATAAATAATACTTCTATTACTTATAATAGTAGTATTTTTTATAGAAATAGTTTAGAGGTTTTTATATTAATATTTTTATATAAAAATAATTCCGGTAATATTTATATAAATAATATCTCTATTAAACTTAAAATTATAATTAAAATTAAAGCATTTATATTTCTTAGCTAAAAACTTAGTTTTTTAGAACTTTAGTTATTTTATTTTTATAAAATTATTAATATTAATAAATAAAATATTATTAATTTAAAAACTAATAATTTTAAAGAATTATTTATTATAAAAAAAAATAAAGATTATAAATTAATTATTTTATAAAAAGCTTATTAATATAATAGGAATAATAAGTCTTAAACTAGTAGTTCCTAGCTTTTAATATATTATATAATAGTTTTATAACTTTTAGAATAGAATTATTCTTTAGATTTAGCTTTCTAATAAGCTTATAAAATAAATTAATATAGAAATTATAATTAAATAAAGTTATTAATTAGATATAAGCTTATAAGATACTATATAAATATAATTCTATAATATTAAAAATAATTCTTTAGCTAATATATTAAATAGTAAATAATTATATTAATATTAAATATTTCTTATTATTATTATAAGCTTAAATAACTAATCTCGACTTCTTAAACTTTCTTTTTATATTCTTATTTTTAATCTTATTAATAAACCAAGAGTTAAAGATATATATTTTCTTTAATACCTGAAATCTATAAGAATATTATCTTAATTATAAAGTTTTAATCTTT